ATTCCATTTCCATATTAGTTGAACATTTTTGTCCTCCTTCTGTGCTTCATGGTTAAATTTTTTTTTTTCAACATTTTTTTATTTTTATTTTTGGGACAGAGAGAGACAGAGCATGAACGGGGGAGGGTCAGAGAGAGAGGGAGACACAGAATCGGAAACAGGCTCCAGGCTCTGAGCCATCAGCCCAGAGCCTGACGCGGGGCTCGAACTCCCGGACCGCGAGATCGTGACCTGGCTGAAGTCGGACGCTTATCCGACTGCACCACCCAGGCGCCCCTGTGCTTCATGGTTAAATCTAAAGCTGCACTGTGCAACATGGTAGCCCCTAGTCTTATATAGCCATTTAAATTCAAGCTTTAGTGTATTTATTTTTTTTTTTTTAATTTTTTTTTCAACGTTTTTTATTTATTTTTGGGGCAGAGAGAGACAGAGCATGAACGGGGGAGGGGCAGAGAGAGAGGGAGACACAGAATCGGAAACAGGCTCCAGGCTCTGAGCCATCAGCCCAGAGCCTGACGCGGGGCTCGAACTCACAGACCGCGAGATCGTGACCTGGCTGAAGTCAGACACTTAACCAACTGCGCCACCCAGGCGCCCCGCTTTAGTGTATTTAAATGAAGTTTAAATTTTAGTTTCTCAGGTGTACTAGCCATATTTCAGGTGCTCAACAGTTAACATGTGGCTAGCATCTACCATATTAGCACAGGTATATAGAATTTTTCTTTTTTTTTTTTTTTTTAAATGTTTATTTTTGAGAGAGAGACAGAGTGCAAGTGGGAGAGAGGCGGAGAGAGAGGGAGACACAGAATCCGAAGTAGCCTCTAGGCTCTGAGCTATCTATACCCAGAGCCTGACGCAGGGCTCAGACTCACAAAGCATGATAAAATCATCACCTGAGCCGAAGTCTGAAGCTTAACTGACTGAGTCACCCAGGAGCCCCAAGAACATTTCTATCCTCATAGAAAGTTTTATTGGACATTCCTAATCTGGAGTATTAGTCATATTCAAATCTGATTGGTAGAAAGGTGAAGACTACCTTGTACCTTGTACTATCCAGTTGCCTCCTTGTGTTGTTAGCAACTATGGACACTCAGTGCTTACATACTTAATATTTTTAGTGGAATCTAAGGTAGGAGCGAAGATACTTTTTTCCTGGTTAATCTCTGGGACAGTGGTAGACCCCTTTTATATAATCTATTGTCTATCATTTGTATGGTATCTACAGTGTACTGTACAATCCCAGGTTGTGTGCATTCACTATGAAGGGTGTTCAGATATATTGTTTCATGGGGTTGATATGTTTGTTCTTGTTTGATCTATTTAACAGAAACATATTGGTAACTGGTATTGTGCTAAGTACTATGATTCATGTGAGTGATATAATTATTAGTAAGTTACAGTTCTTACCCTCCAGTACTTCAGAATCTAGTCAGCAGACAGCTATAATTAAGTTAGGTGTCTATGACAAATTGCTAGGGATTGACAAGGTGGTAATTTAAAAAGTTTCACTCTTTAGAGAATGGATTAGAGTGAGGCAAAACTGGTGGATACAGGAAGTTGAATTATGTAGCCATTGGAAAATCTAGATGTAAAACTTAATTAATGTTTGTTTATTTTGAGAGAGTGTGTGTGTGTGTGGGCAGGGGAGGGGCAGAGAGAGAAGCACGGAGCCCAACATGGGGCTCAATCTCACGAACCTGAGCCAGAGTCAGGAATCGGACACTTAACTGACTGAGCCACCCAGGCATCCCTAGATGTAAAATTATAGTGGAAATTGACAGTAAAGGGGAGGCAAGTACATGGGAAAAATAGAAGTAGAAGCAATAGGACCTGTAGATATGGGAGTATGGGGATAAAAGTTGGGGAAATTTTCAGGTGGGTTCTCAAGTTTCTGACCAAGGCATTTGGGTTGATGGTAGCACTAATCCCTGAGTTAAAGAATGCCAAGTTTATGAAATGAGGGGAGATAAGATTATTTCCATTTCAGACCAATTGAGTTTGAGGTGCCTATGGGATATCCAAAGAATGGATTCCAAGCACTTGGGTTTATTGCATCAGAGCTCAGAAGAAAGGTAAGGACTTGAAGTTGATTTGACATTCATTGTATACTGAAACAGAGATATACTGAGACAGAGATAGATGAGATTTGTTAAGGTGATTGTATAAACTCATGAACCTATGGTACCATATATGTAACTGATTTGAAGCTAGTTGGGTACTAGCTCATTTTGTGAGTTGTGAATATTATAACAAACTGAGGAGTTCATATCAGTTCTAACCACTTGCTGCCACAAAATCTAGTTTTTCAAGAGAAGCCAGAAATCTGAATTTTTATGTAAAATGTTGGCCCAGATTTAATTGTTGTGTGTCTGGAGGGAGTTGGAGGAACACTTATGTGGACTCATTTGACCCTCTCAGGTACTAAGTTGTAACCCCTAGTGTAGGATGATGAGAAGACATAAAAGCTAAGAACAGACTTCTAGTGCCTATACTTTTAAGGAATGGGCAAAGGAAGAGAAAGTAAATCACCAGTAATACAAGAAGACAAGCAGATAAGGTATCACAAAAGCTAAGGGAAATAGAATATTTCAAAGAAGAGAAAGTGATTTAAAGTGCCAAATACTCAAAAAGGTCAAGTTAAAAATACATTGTCCATTATATTTAAGGTTGTTAGTTATCTTATTGAGAACAGTTCCTAAATAGTAATGACAATGGATACTAAAGTAGATTGAGACATTAATGGTAAGGGTAGAAGTAGAGACAGAATGTAGACAATAGCCACATTACCTCCTTACAATTCAACAAACTAGTCAGTTACTCTCCTGCCTCAGGGCTTCTTGACTTGCATTTCCCTCCACCTGGAACATTTTCTCTGAATATCCACACAGCCTGCCTCTTCACCCTCTCTGGGTCTAGGTCTGACTGTCATCTCAGAGAGGCCTTCCCTAAATAATCCTTAAAATTGCAAACATCCCCCACCCCATTACCTTGCTACCTTCAGTACTTCCTTCCCTGTTTTATTTTTCTCTGCAGTACTTATCCCTTCCCAGTATATTATAGAATTTGCTTACTTATTTTATTTTACTTGCTGTTTTTATCTTTCTGCTAGAATTTAGCAGTGAAGAAAGGAATTTTCAAATGTTTTGTCCTTAACTCTGATTCACTGCTATATGTGTAGCACCTGGAATTGTACCTAGAACATTGTAGATGGTCAGTAAATATTTGTTAAATTTAAAAATTCGATGTGCTTGGGTGGCTCAGTCAGTTGAGCATCCGACTCGTGATTTTGGCTCAGGTCATGATCTCACAGTTTGTGGGTTTGAGCCCCATGTGAGGCTCTGAGCTGAGAATGTGGAGCCTGCTTTGGATTCTCTTTCTCCTCTCTCTCCCCGTCCCCTGCTCACATGCGCACACACACACTCTCTCCTTCTCTCTTAAAATAAATAATTTTTTTTTTTTAATTTAAGAAACGTGAGTGTTAAGGCAAGGAGATAGAGATGGAGCCCTAACTGGAGGAGAAGGTGAAAGAGAGCCATCTCTTTTTAAAGATAGTAGAAATTTGAGCATATTTAAAGGCATGGAAAGGAAATCAGAATGAGAAAAGTTACACCTCTATCCATTGATTGAAACAAAATTTCTAAGCACTTTTTTATGGGCCAGAGACTTTTCTGGGCATTTGGAATACAGCAGTGAACAAGAACAAAGTCCCTGCTTATAATCTTACATCCTAGAAGAAAAAGAAGTTGTTAATTGATTTCATTAAGGAAACGGGAGAATAAAGGTGATAGATTGGCCCTAGGAGTCAGTAAAGACAGGTCTTTCATTATGGAGAGCTGTGAAGGAAGTCTGGATGGTTGTAGTTGTGGACAATTTTACCCTGAACCATCTCATTGTTTCTTGCTTTCTCTTGCACAGTTGCATAGCCAGGGATAGGACTATAATTTGGGATAAATAGGTTTTCTGGAATTTTAAATTATAACTTACTTTTATTTGAATTTAATACAAAGCAGTAAGCTCAGATAAGAGTGTTACCAGTGTGAAGCCCTGTGTATAATAGTGCAGAACCACCGCTAGGATCATAGACTTACCATTGGCAGTACTTCGCTTCTTTTCCTAACATACTAACTTCCCTATGCTTTGAGACACATATTTCATATCTTCTCCTTCCTCCTAGATCTTCAACAACCTGTCCTCATCCTCACACTCAACAAATGGTCTTGCTTCCTGGAAGTCAGAGAACTTCTACTGTCTTCTACCCTCACAACCTACTAATCTGTCTACATCTGTACCAATAAACCCTGCCTTCCTTCTGATTGATGTAAATGGACAAAATGTGCTTTTAACTAAGGCAGCCCCTTGATCCCATCCCTTTCTGCCTACTTAGGAACATGACTCCAGTAATCTTCACCTTTCCTACATCAATTTTTTCCTTTCTGTAGTCATTTTTATTGCATACAGGTAAACGTCTCTGTAAAAAATAACCATCTTTTGAGCACATATTCACTTCCACCTGCCATCATATTTTTCTGCTTCCTTTTATGGCAAACTTATTTGAAAAGTGACATACCGGGGGCGCCTGGGTGACTCAGTCGGTTGAGCATCCGACTTTGGCTGAGGTCATGATCTCACCGTTTGTGAATTTGAGCCCTGCATGGGGCTGTCTCCTGTCAGCACAGAGCCTACTTCAGATCCTCTGTCCTCCTCTCTCTCTACCTCTCTCTCTCTCTCTCTCTCAAAAATAAATATTTTTTAAGTTAAATAAATAGATAAATTTTTTTAAAAAGTTACATGCCTGGGCACCTGGGTAGCTCAGTCAGTTAAGCATTGGATTCTTGATTTCACCTCAGGTCATGATCTCACGGAAATCATAGTGCAGAGCCTGCTTGGGGTTCTCTCTACCTCTTTTTGCCCCTTCCCTGCTCATGCTTTCTCTCTCTCTCTGTCTCTCAAAATAAATAAATAAAACTTTAAAAAAGAGAAAAGAAAGAAAAGTGACATACCATTTATCTTCAGGTTCTCTTCTCCCTTTGTCTCTCCAGCTCATTCCAGTCAAACTTTTGCATTCATCGCTCTATCAAAATAACCCTTCTCAAGGTTACTGATGACTTCCTAATAGTTAAAGACAATTGTCCGTTCTCAGTCTTTATCTTATTTAACAGTAGCAGTTGACATAGTCCATTACTCTCTCTATGAAATTTCTTCATTTGGCTTCTCGGACCACCACATGGTATTTTTGTTATTGAACTGGCTACTCTTAACCTCCTTTGCTCCTTTGTCCCTTCCCCTCTCTGAGACCTTTAAAGTTTGGAGGGCCCAAGGGATCACTCCCTCCTTGTTTTCATCCAGTCTCATGGCTTTAAATAGCATCAGTGTGTAAGCACATTCTCCCCTGAATTCCAGACTTGTATGTCCAGCCATCTATTTGACATCTCCACTTGAGTGTTTAATAAGCATTTCATTTGTAACATGTCCAGAAAAAATTCTTGATTCCTTTACTCTGCCAACCTGCTGCACCCTGTTTTCCCCATTTTGGTATTAGCAATCCTATTATTTCCTGTTGTTTAAATAAAAAACTTGGAAGTTATTCTAGACTCTTTTTTCTTCTTATACTCTACATGCAATCCATTAATAAGTCTTCCTAGCTGTAATTTGAAATCATATTCAGAATCTGATCATTTCTCATGACTTGTACCATTTACCAGCCTGATCCAGACCATCTCCAATCTTGATAATTTCAGTAGCCTCCTAACTAATATCCCTACTTCTGCCATTGTCCCCCTACAGTCTGATCTTAATACAGCAACCAGAATGATCTTTTTTTTTTTAATTTTTTTTTTTTAACGTTTATTTATTTTTGACACAGAGAGAGACAGAGCATGAACGGGGGAGGGTCAGAGAGAGGGAGACACAGAATCTGAAACAGGCTCCAGGCTCTGAGATGTCAGCACAGAGCCTGACACGGGTCTCGAACTCACGGACCATGAGATCGTGACCTGAGCCGAAGTCAGCCGCTTAACCGACTGAGCCACCCAGGTGCCCCCAGAATGATCTTTTAAAAACAGAATATTCAGAGTAAAACCAAAGTTCCGTATACTGTTTTAGAAAGCCTTATAAGATCTTTATCTCTTCCAACTTCTTTTAATACATTTCTCACAACTTTCCTCGATCTCCCACTTCACGTACACTAACTTCTTTCAGACCGAACTTAGGGCATTTCTCATCAGATGTTTCTTCCACCTTACCACTTTTGAGATACGCGTAGCTCATTCCCTTCCTTCATATTTCTTCTCACATGTCTTCTTAGCAGAGAGGCCTCCTTGATCACCCTATATAAAATACCACATTCACAGCTTCTTCTACCTTTTTCATTTTATTGTGTTCTCTATGGATACTGTATATTACTTGCTCATTTTTTAAATTGACCATTTTCACCCCACTAATGTATGCTTCCTGAGGGCAGAGACTTTGTTACTAGTGTATGTCTTACTTAGTACAACCATATTTAGCACATAGTAACCATTTAGGTAAATGTTTTTTGGACAAATGAATGAATATTCTTTTTTTTTTTTTTCTGTAGCTAGTATATATCTCCCTCTTGAGAGAGGCTTGAGACAGAAAATTTCATTTGTATTATTCCCTTAGTAAAAAATAGGTGGAAGTCATTTATTCACTTAGCAAACATTTTTTGAGCACCTACTGTATATAGGGGGGTACATTTATGACCAAGATAGCTTCTTCAGGAAGAGCAAGCAAACTGGAATGATTTGGTCCTGGTCTGAATGTCAATTCCAAAAAAGTTTTAAAGTGTTATTCCCAAGGAGCATTCTTGGAACAGTTTATAGTGGTTTAAATATCTGTTTATAAGTCTTCATAATCTCATTAAATTTTCCGAACTGGAAGGAACCTCAAAAATCATTTAGCTTAACTCTCATTTTACAGATTTGATTAAATTGAGCTCTAGGAAATGTAAGAAATTTGCCCAGGGTCCTTGCCCAATTAGTTAGTGATAGAATAGGGATAAGGGTCTAGGTCTGGCCTCCTGGTTTACAAGACTATTATTTTTCTCCTGTGCCATGCTACCTTCCATTCTAATCCACAACAGTTTCCTTTTCAAAAGTAGACTACTTGCCATTGCTTTATTAACTTTTCTTAATTAAGCACAATAGCAGATACAAAATTAAAGAGTTATTTACATTTATAGTTTTTCAGAGTCTGAGAGGTTAAATATATTATTTATATAGAACTTTTCAAGTGGATTCAAGTAATGGATTTTATTTAAGCAATGAATTATTATTATTTAAATATAGTTGTCTTTTTAAGCATATCATTAAGTTGAAAGAATAACTGAATTTCTTTATATCCATTTCTCTTATAAATCTGTTGCAGAGAAACTCTTACTACTCAGTTGGATCTAGCAGAAACAAAAGCCGAGTCTGAGCAGTTGGCTCGAGGGCTTCTGGAAGAACAGTATTTTGAATTGACCCAAGAAAGCAAGAAAGCTGCCTCAAGAAATAGACAGGAGATTACAGATAAAGATCACACTGTTAGTCGGGTAAGTGTGGTTTTCACGTAAGGTTTATGACTAAAATTAAATAAAAATAGGCCACATCCTAAAGTGTTAGGGTAAGGTGAATATGTATGCATGTGTATTTACTTTGACTTTACTTATACACAGTGGTCAGTCTGTACTCCTGTATAAAATAGTTCATATAATCCAAAACCATTGTTAATGACTGAAATTCTTTTTCAGTGTAATATACTTTTTCTCTTTCTGGCTATAGATCTTAATATATTTTATGTAAGGAAATGCTTAGCTTAAATTCATTTGTTGTATTATCTTAATACATTGCAGCTTGTTTTATGGCCAGAATTCTGTAAAGTTCAGAGAAACTATTTGGGGATGAGAAATTCTTTATGGATATTTACAAATTAATTATAGAAAACCAATACTATAATTAACTATTCCTGAAATTTATACTGTTCTCTATATAGATGATGGGAATGGGAGGGGGAGTTAGATTTTTCTTCTTTTGAAGTTACCATCAAGTGCTGTGGTGTAGGTAGTCCTGGGTTTAAATCTTAGCTTTGCCTTTAAGAAGTTACATGGTCTTGGCAATGTGCATTAACTTCTCTAAGCCTCAGATTCCTCATCTATAAAATAGAAATAATATTTGGGGTGCCTGGCTGGCTCAATCAGTAGAGCATGCAACTCTTGATCTCAGGGTTGTGAGTTCAAGCCCCACATTGGGCATAGGGTTTACTTAAAAAAAAGAAAAAGAAATAATACCTATTCCACAAGATTCTTATGAACATTAAGTGAAATAATATACATAGAATGGTGAATAAGTAGTACATTACTGAAAGTAAAATGTTTTAATTGTCGTTTTCATCATCATTATTCAGATGAAGGAATTGAGGCCCAAAAGCATTGTGACTTGCTAAGAATCACAGAGCTAGAAACCTAAATTTAAATTTCCCAAGTTTGTAGTCGTTCTCCTTCCATTACATTTTTTTCTTCCTTTCACAAAAACACACACACATACACACCAGCTGAAGTATTTTTAGAAGCTAACAATTGTTTTAAAATATTTTGAATTTAATTATATCCACATATGTTAAACCGGAAACCGGGCATTTTCAGAATAAAGCAGCGTTTGATCTGTCCTCATCTATGGAGAATGTGAAGTATTTTTTTTTTGAAGTTACTGTTTTAAATAAGAGACTAGCAAAGTGAAGGTAACTTAAACCTTTGTGTGTTTTGTTAAGCTTGAAGAAACAAACAGCATGCTAACCAAAGATCTTGAATTATTAAGAAAAGAAAATGAAGAGCTAACTGATAAAATGAGGAGGACAGAGGAAGGTATGTAAGGTTTTTTGTTTTGTTTTGTTTTGTTTTAATTATGTTTAATCAAGTTCAGAGGTAAATCTTAGCTATTTATATTGTGTATTAGGTTTTTGAAATATTTGTTTTCATATGTTAAATAGCTTCTGTAGCCTTAAGAATTATCTTAGTAGAACTTAAATGTTCTCATCTCAGAAAATGGTAAATATGTGAGGTGATGGATATGTTAATGAACTTGATGGGAGAATCCTTTCACAATGTTTACATCTATCAAATTATCATATTGTATAACTTAAATATCTTACAAATTTATTTGTCAATTATACCTCAATAAAACAACAAAAAAGAATTATCTTAATGAAGTTATTAAAAGTTATGATGTATAAACTAATTTGCATAATTAAGAGCATTAATTTTGAATGCAGAAATTTAATGTCATATAATAACACTTTATATAATTTGCTAACAGAATATAAACTGAAGAAAGAGGAAGAGATCAGTAATCTTAAGGCTACCTATGAAAAGAATATCAGTACAGAAAGAACCCTTAAAACACAGGTATACATTCTCTCTCAGCCTTTTCCATATGTTTGTATTTGAGTATCATATATTCAGAAGGTAACATTTGCTCTTTGTGAACTTTTTCTTAAAACTTAGGTTGTAATGTTCAGTCTTTTCACTGGAACAAATAATGTAATACTCTTTCTTCATTAAATATAGAAGTCTTTTTCAGGAAATTGGATTTTAATTGAGTTCAGAAAGTAGCTTGTCTAGTCATTTGACTAGTAAGAACATGTTTTAGATTGTACAGAAGACCTATAATTAATTGACAGTAGGAAAACTTAATGAAGAGAAAATACTTGACTAAAGCCAAGAGAGAAGAACTAGGAGTAAGTAAGAAACTATAGGGGTGACTGTATCATTTTGCTATGTATTTAATGATGCAGTTCACATTTTTACTAAAACTTGGTATCTTGTCATTTTACTAACTTATACAGTAGTTTAAATTCTTCATAAGGTACTGTGTACCCCAGTTGATTTTTATGGTAAAATAAATATTTTTTACTTTTTATTAAATGATTATATTAGCTTTTTTACCACTTATCTACTCTCCCTCTCAGCAGTTTTTCATGTTGCAACTAGATTAATCCTTCAAAAATGTATTTAATACCTGTTGAAAATCCTTCAGTAGAAGGATTATACTTACTTTTACATCAAAACATAGACCATGAAGAAAAGGATTGACATTTATTACATAAAAATTCAGGTCTGTGGAGCCCAAAACAACATAAGTTGAAAGAAAACAAACTAAGAAGAATATTTACAACAAATGTAGAGAAATACAAATAAAAGAGGGTCTACAAATAAAAAGACAATCTTCTATGAAAAAAAATAAGAGACATTTGAGAAAAAAAGAATTTTAAAAAGCTAACCCATTACCATAAACCAAGAAATAAAAATTAAACTAATAATGAGGTATCTTTTTGACAAAT